CTGAGGTTGTATTTACCTACTTTTCAGAACTGCTAACGACCAGATGGTTTTTATTATGTCCTGATATGTAAAACCAAGAACTCAAAGAGGGTGTACTTTCTTTTTCACACGAAAAGACTGTAACTGAAATGAAGTAGGTTTTTCACTATATTTAAATATAGTCACTGCACTTATTCACAATCCTTTACCACCAAATATCAAAGTACCGCATGTATCAGAAGAATGATGCCATACCTCCAGTTTATCTGTCCTGAGGAGTTTCTGTGTGGTACCTGATCCAGAGACAGTTACAGGAGGATTTCCAGGAACAATTACAGGTTGTGCGGGGACAATTTCTGTAGGAACTAATCCAACCCCAGAAGTAACAGGAGTTAAATATGGTGCAAAGTTTAGTGCTGTGTTAGATCCTATTGTTGGTCCTACTGGAAACGATGGCTGAAAGACAGAATAAAAAGAATAAATAAGCATGTAGAAATGAAAATAACGTGCTCTGTAATAAAATGTCAAAGTTCACTGATTTAAGTTAGCTGAGTTCACACATTACACTAAACTGAAACAAAATAAACCATATTTTAACTTAGCAGAATGTATGAACTTAGCTCAAATGTGTAGATATTTGTGGCTTTCTTAATGGCTTAAACTGAGCATCATGTTTTAGTTTTGGTGAACTAGTTCCAAAGGATTCTGAAACAGGCATTATTAACAGAAAAGGCAAACTTCATACTGAATAACTGACTCCGCATGAAAGCTATGGAACCATTTTTGTCTGTGAGGGATTTGATATATGCTACACATATGTAAACTAAAAATAGTGAAAGGATGCTTAACCAAGTGAGGAATGGCCACATACGTTTATAGGAGCAACATTAATTCAGTGATGAAGTAGCATATCTTGCTGATGCAAACAGGGCAGTTGAGGACATATCTTGGTATGACCTTCTGGAAATCAGCAAGAATTCAGAAAAACTTTATTCCACCTAATAAATCAAAACCATAATTTATTATGCATGATTATGCTACATGTTATCCTTCCAATAAGGATGAATAAATTTACACATTAAGGACCTCACTGGTGCTATTCAACACTAAAACTTTTGATGTGAGGTAGATACACACACATTATTGTTTAAAGGAAAAATGTGCTATTTTCCCTTAAGTCCAGATTTAGGTCTCTCTTGAAGAAGAAACAGCATTTGTAAAAAAATAAATTTCTAATCCAAGGAGTACACAAATAAAATTGTGTATAAAATTGCTATATTGTAGAAATATACAATTATGGCAAACAAAACATTGCAAGTTCTTACTTTTTTTTTTTTTTTGGTGCCTTGAGTCAGTGTTGACTCCTGGCAACTGGCTGGCAAGTCCCTGCTGTTTTCTTGCCAAGGTTTCAAAAGAGGTTTGCCATTTCCTTCTTCCTAGGCCTGAGAGAATATGACTGGCTGAAGGTCACCCAGCTGACTTCATGCCTAAGATGGGACTAGAACTCACGGTCTCCCGGTTTCTATCCTGGTGCTTTAACCACTACACCAAACTTTTTACTATTTTTACCTGTTATGATTTAGTCTCTCTTTGCCCAGTCTCCCAAGGTCTTTCCACACATACCATTACATTCCTAAAAGAA